TCTCGCCATTCTTGGCACCATTCAACAACTCGTCAAAGAGACAAGTGAAGCCGATCCTTTGACCAAACGTTTGCTTAAAAGTTGTGGTATCTCCTGTTCTGTCCTGGGCTATTCACACTTCCTAAATCATCCTATCACACCTTCCCTGTCACAATTTTTACCGTTCTTATTTTGATGTAGTGTGCGGCATCCATGAAAACTCTTCCCACTCCACGTGGCGTTCTCACCCCCTTCGCCCTTGTGCTGGGAATGTTGACCAGAGTCTGTCATATTGTTCTTTAGTCCTTCCCTGGGTCCTATCAAAGTCTCCCTCTTGCCCAGTAGGATCTGTCTACTCTCTCCCTGATTCACATATTTCACTCGACTCCTGCCACCCCATCTGTGTAGCTCGAGGCGTTATTCGCATTCCCCTTGCGTCTATGTGATTAATTCGAGGCTAAAACCTCTGAGTAAGTCTTATGGTCACGCCTTTTCTACATGGACCACTTTTATGGTAAAAACAGACATACTGTCAGCCAACTAGCTCCCATCGCCGCCGCGTCTATCCCGTTTCTATCTTTAATACCATGCCTTAGTCTCTTGTGTGCCAACCCACAAATGTTGTGGTACAGCTTGTTTCGATTTGGTTCAATCTTGAACCGCAACCTTTGTGGGTTGGCACACAAGAGACTAGGGTATGGGAAGTCATAGACTTGGTACTAGAGATAGAAACAGGATAGACGCCGCGGCGATGGGAGCTAGTGGGCTGACAGTAGGTCTGTTCTTACCATAAACATGGTCCATGTAGCAAAGGCGTGACCATGAGACTCACTCAGAAGCTTCAGCCTCGAATTAATCACCCAGACGCAGGGGGAGGGTGAATAATACCTCGAGCTACACAGATGGGTTGGCAGAAGTCGAGTGAAATACGTGAATCAAGGAGAGAGTAGACGGATCTTACGGTGCAAGAGGGAGACTTTGATAGGACCCAAGGAAGGACTAGGTAACAATATTACAGACTCTGGTCAACATTCCCAGCACAAGGGCGAAGGGGGTGAGAACGCCCCGTGGAGTGTCAAGGGTTTTTATAGATGCCGCTCGAAGGAGCACAGCAAACTACATCGAAATAAGCACGGTAAAAATTGTGACAGGGAAGGTGTGATAAGATGATTTAGGAAATGTGAAGAGCCCAGGGCAGAAGGGGAGATACCACAACTGTTTAGTAAACGTTCGGTCAAAGGATAGGCTTCACTTGTCTCTTTGACGAGTTGTTGAATGCTGCTACTACGATGCCAGCGAAACTTCTGGGAATGTACTACGTCTACGGTCGTACTCTGGAAACGATGATGCCTACAATGGACTACGGACTAGGTGCGTTCCTCTAAGTCTTCCTACCAATATGACCAAGTTGCGAAAACAAGGTCAAGCAACTTCTATACAACGAAAGGAGACTGCGACCACACAAAGGGCCACACCATCTTGGTCTTCATACCTTCCATATTTACATTAATTCGACATATTTGTTGACCTCATTGGCTCAGTCAGACTTACTTTCGGGAGGCACTGATGATTCCTGACTTAGGTCAGGCTCTATTGCATTCACGCCCTAATAATAACTGATGCTTTCGTATTCTGACACGCACATACACATTTCAAAACATACATACAAACAAACACGTTGGCAAAAAAGATATGAATAACAAGGTGGTGTGGCTTTTAATTTGGTTGCAATCTCCTTTCGCTGTGGTTTCACATCGTTTTCGAAAGTTAGCCACATAGTCAAGGTGGCCTAGATGAACGCACCTTGCCCGGAGTCCTTTGACATAGTAGTCATGGTAATTTCCAGCATCAGACCATGGGCTTGGTACATAACCAGACGTTTCACCGACGTTGTCAAAGCTTATTGAGGTGAAAGTCAAAGTGATGTCTATCCCTTGACCAAGTCCACGGTCCGATGCTGAAAGTTATAATGACTGCTATGGCGGAGGACTCCGGAAAAGATACCTTAAAAACACAAACAAGCTGTGAAAACCGGATCAATAGATTTTTAAACACAAATTATTTAGATTAGCATAAAAATAAACCAGCGAAATCATTCAGTTCTTTTTTAGCTTAGTATATATAGCATGTAAGGCAGAGAAAAGCAGTTTGGGTGACCAAGTTTTACCTTAAAGTTTTTGTAAGAATGATATCTAGCCCTGATGATACCTGCTGGTTGTTATTTCACACGAAAGTTTACTCCATGCTGACCAGAGCCTAAGGAAAAATGTCTTGTGAACTGCACTAACAAAACAAAGACTTCTCGGAAGAGTCTCGAAGCCCAGTTGCTCTAA